TTAGCCAAGGCACAGTTCCGGAAGTCTAACAATGCCAAGTTCAGCGAGTCCATGTTTCCTGGCCGAACCAGACTGATGAGAGCCCATTCCCAGAAAATATTTTCTCTGGACCTGAAAGCCCGGAGCGGTCTGATCTTCAAGGACCTGATGAAACTACACAATGGAAACATGGACATTATTACAAAACGTTTACCCACTGTGCTGGATGCGACTGTTTCGTGCTAATCCGGTGACTGCTCCAAATGCAAACAACATTGTGTCGTGTGCTCTGGGGGTGACAGTGACAACTGGTGGACACGCTCAATATTCATGAGTGCCAACAAAATTCACAACCTGCAAGATGACAACAGATGATGAGATGTTAGTGCTGGAACTACTGAAGAAGAAACTCTGCTCCAAGGCAGTCCACTCAATGCGACTCAACACATCTAACCAAAAGAATGAGGGATGTCACCGGACGCTGAATGTTTCCTTGCCAATGTACCAGAATTTCGGACGAAATGCTGAGGGACGGTTGGACAACACAATTTTAACTGTAAATTATACAGCGGGCAAGGCCACTCAGTGGAAAGTACAACATATAGGTGGAACTCTGAGTAAGGAGGTTAGACATCAGCTGGACCAAATAAGCTCAGAGGAAATTTATCAGCGCCAGCGTCAATACAAACCTGATGTCAAGAAGAGAAAACTTGAGGTGTTGGTGGATCAGCACAGGGAGCACGCAAACAGGTCAAAGTCTGACAGGAAGTCCGACTACAGGAAAGGTCAACTTGATCCAACACTGCATCGACCAAGGGGAGACAATCAACCTACGGACCACCTGTTTCGAGAGAAGTAGAAAATTACATTTTAATTGATGAATTTTTTGAAATCAAAGACAAAATTCCAAATTCAAGAAATATGTTACAAAATAAAATAAACGTTACATATATATGACTACCTAAAGAGGGAACCTCCACGTGATGGTAGTCGGACACTGTTGTATCTGTGTAAACAATAGCTAATACCCTCAAAAATACTTGTTTGTTGATTTTTCAATCAAGCCGATTTCAATTCAAAGAATTTCTACATTTAATTTTTAAAAATCAGGTGTAGGAATACATAAAAACACATAATATGCAAATTTAAGTGTCTATATTTAAACACTGTGCCAAATTTAAAAAATAAAAATAAAATAAAAATGAATTTAAACTTGAATTTTTAATCAAATTTAACTTCATTAAGACTTTTTGATTAACAAATCAGAGATACAGCATAGAATAATCATGCCAAATTTTATCGAAATCGGTCAAAAAATACGGATCTGAGAAATAATAACATGCATTTCTAGACCAGTCATAAAGGACTAAGACCACAATTAATTTTACCATATGTTTCATTGTAACATTTAATTTCATAACATATTCCCAATATTTGATAGCCAACTTTCCAGCAAACCTGGTCAAGAGCAACATCTTGGGAGTAAAATATCAATATTTCAACATAGTATGTTGGCCTTTTTCTTGAGAGAATCGTCTGCATGTGTCACCTATGTCAAAAATAAACTTCCGGTCAGGGGTAGAGGTAAACACAGGACTTTTCACACAGCACCCTGCACCAAAAAATAAATGCACAATATAAAAACTTGACACAGAAATTGTTAGATTAATATCTCTACAGTATTTTAACACCAAACTTTCAGACAAAAATCAAGTTATAAGAGGCATAGTATAATTTTTATTAAAGTATCTATATTTCTAAGGGACTTCATTCATAGGTACTGAACCCGGAAGCATTTAATTGTGACCTCAGTCCAGATAGCACTAATAAGCAGACACCAGCAACAATCGGCCCAGGTCTGTTCTGATCTTGGCGTGTTGACAGCAGCTCGTTAGTAATTATATGTGAGACCGGCTTTGTGTTGGAAAGATTGAAGTGCCTGAATAAGTCTTGCCTTTATCCACACACTGCCGTGGTAGATATAATTAATAAACGATTGAGTTCTGTAGCGAGATACTGTTAGACAGAAGGTGTCGCGGTGCATAGGCTATACAGTGCTAGTCGTAACTAGGGTAGTCGCGACCAGGCTAGTCGTGACTAGACATAGTTGTGTAGAGCTAATCGTGACTAGGGGTATCCAGCTAGCACGCTGATATCGGGCCGATGTCGGTTGAAGGGCGGAATATCGGCTAAATATGCCGTTATTGGGCCGACGTCGGACCGTCATCATTATTTATATGTATGTTATTCAATATATTTATTTCTAACACTTATTTATTACAAGAAGTTATTTAAAAGAAATACTAGGTTGCTTTTTATGTTTAATTGCCAAAATGATACAAAAACATGACAAAATGATATCGACCCAACTGCAGACCGATGTCACCAAAACCATATAACTTGGTTTCTTGCTTTATGCATTTTCCATACATCGGGCCGATGTCACTCCGATGTTGTACCAAATAGAAATAATATATGGACATAACATTATGCATCTGTCTAATGTATTTATACAACTGAATTCAATAAGTGTCAATGCTAAGATAGCTTAAAAATTTATGTCGAAGTTTCAATAGATAAACGTTTTTTTATATATATAAATATACAAACATAAATGTTTGTTCACTGCGGACCGACTAACCGGAAATTGCGCCAGATTTGTAACGGGTTTCCGGCATTTTCAAAAATGACAGAGAACGGACAGCAGGCATAACATATATGGACAGTGGGCTTTTGATTATTTCATGGACAGGCAAAACCTAGTGAAAGGTGATGAGAGTAAGCTGTTTTATTTCATAAGATCATGTCTTATCTAAATTATTCTGAACCTCTGGCCACTGATACTAAAATGTTTACAAGGTGATTGCGTGTGGAGTGTTTATAAATTACAAAATAAGTGTGTACCTATATATATATATATATAATAAAAACGGATTTAATGTCCATGTAAAGGAAGTAAATATAGAAAAAATAATATTAACGACCGACTAAAAAACTAGCTGCTTTCACCCTTCACAGGGCTCTTCAGGTTTATTTAAACAACGTCGTGACGTCACAATTACATGTCATCACACTACAATAGTACACAAGATTGGTGGACAATTTAGCGTAAAATTTTACTGTGGCCTGTTGAGACTTGGTTTTAATATTTTGATTAGTAGGGTCATCCGGTGCACTCCCCTATATAATCCTTACCACCTCCCGGCACCCCCCTAGTGGCACCCCCCTTCAGCAGGGGGGGTACCGATCGATGACGTCACAGGGGGGTTCTCATGTATTGGGGTTTTTCCAGACTGTCTCTATTTATAGCGACAACCTATATACGAGGGGGGTACCGTTATGATGATGTCACGGGTTTTCCCCGATTGCACCACGTTTAGAAATAGTCAAACCGGTTCCAACCGGTTATGAAAACAACACCCAGAAAGACATACCGTATTCCCCATCCATGAAACATGGAAATTAAAAGTGTTGATACACCAGTCACGCAGTCCGCTTTACAACAGGGTATGTCGTGTATGTTGCCTATGTACTAGGATATCTATCGACATACACACTGCATTATTCATATTGACCTAGAACAGCATACAATGTAAACGTAGTGTATACGATTCAAGACGAAGAATATCCCAGCATATAATCGAAAAACACTGCAATATCAATATATACAATATCTTTATTAAAACAACAAACCTTCAGGTATCGTGTCAATTCCGTTTAACACTCATATATCCATGTATCATTCAACCGACATAATGCAAATGGCAAATGTTTATTGTGAGCCTTGTAGCGCCACCTAGCTAGACGAGTGTGTATACACCTAGAAAATTATACACACGACAGGTGTAGGCAGATTAGTCGTGTGGGTTAGTGCGTTTGGCTAGTAATATATAGGCCTACTGTAACTAATGGGTGTTCGACGCTCAGAAACGACAAATCTAAAAATCGAATTTTAGGCATTTTTTCAGTGTCTGGTAGACTCGGGAGACTACTAGGGCGGTGGTATCTTAGCTTCAGTGTCGCAACATTTAGGCTTCGAGGCTCGCTATCAGCAACGAAAATAAATAAAACTTGTAAGGTTCAGATTGAATTGAGAGAAATTGAAAATGCGTCCGATCACATTAAAAATAAAATTACAATGAAACGAAATTTACAAAATAAATCTGAAAAATTTCAATTAGCCAATCAAATGACGCGATTTACATCGATGGTTACAGAGGGTATAAATAGAGGCACGGAAACAAGCAATAATCATTCTTAGGAAGACAATCAGAGGAGAAAGTTATTGCCAGGGTGACTATTTACAGAACACCGCGATACATTCCAACATGTCGAAGAGGGAGGCATTAGACAGTATTACACACCCGGATAAGAAGGGTAAATGGTCCTGTCCCCATTGTGATAAAACGTTTGAACACAAGAAGACATTGAATAGACATACATCTAGTCATGGAAGTCAACAATGGAAATGTAATGTGTGTCAAAAGGAGTTCGGAAGGAAAGATAGGCTTACAAGGCACATGCAGTTACATGGGGAGCCCACAAATACCTGTTGTGGAAAATCATTCTGGAGGACTGACAAATATCACGAACATTTGAAGAACCATATATTTAATCAGCAGGGAGGAGGGGTGGATGAAAATCAAGATGAGAACAAAGAAAACAATCAACCGCAAATGAATTCATCTACCAATCAAGCTTTGAACGATTCGGACCGCCAAACTAGCCCCGAAGTGGATGAAGATAAACAATGCTCAGAGGAAGCACTCAAGGGAATCTTCAAAGTTGTCACTCTACCTGCAGAGGGCCAAGCCAAATTAGACATCATGACCTTTCTTCATCAACAATATGACACAATAAAGTAGAAATTAGAGAAATCTATGGTCCAGGGAGGTGTCAAATGGTATTTATCTATTCAAGTACAATTCTCAAAACCGAAAGGAGAGACAGTGGAACGGGTTTCGCCACATTTTCGCGGAAAGTGTCAGATTACTTTAAAGTCATCCGACATCGATGAAGGTATGCGGGAATCCATCCGAAAAATTCAAAATTCGTTTACAGAATACCAACGACAGGGAAGTAACTGGACATTGGATAAGGTGATTCAAATCCAGATACACTTTGCAAAATATAAACCCCTGAAAGGATCCAGCTATATTCCCCTGCCAATCAAACTGAGGTCTAAGCATGCCATCATCAACGTTCAAAACAAGGACAAAAAATGTTTCATGTGGTCTATTCTAGCTGCATTACACCCAGTCAAACGAGATTCCCAGCGTGTTACTAAATACATAGACCACCGCCACGAGTTGAACTTTGATGGTATTTCCTTCCCCGTCAAGGTAGCCGACATCAATAAGTTCGAAACACAGAACAAGATCACTGTCAACGTCTTGGGATATGAGAAGGGGTCCTTATTTCCAATCCACGTGACCAAGCAGAGATTTGACAGACACGTTGATTTACTGCTGATAACGGATGGACGCAAGTCCCACTACTGTTGGATCAAGAACGTGAATGGGCTCCTGTATGACCAATATTCCTACGGCCATAGATACTATCACTGTATGTATTGCCTACAAGGTTTCACCAAAGGGCGCATTCTCAATGACCATATATCATACTGTCGGGAACATAGGACACAGAAAGTCAAACTACCTACAGAAGAGGATAAATGGCTGTTCTATAAGGATGTAAGAAAGCAATTGAAGGTGCCTTACATCATATATGCGGACTTCGAGTCGTTCCAAGTGCCGATACATAGATGTGAGGTTGACCCAAACAAATCACATACAGAGAAGACCACACAACACGTACCATCAAGTTTCGCTTACAAAGTCGTAGGGCTCACACAAACAACATCTAAGGAACCTTTGGTCTACAGAGGACCGGATGTTACAGAGAAGTTTGTAGAATGTATGCTGAGAGAACAGGAGGACATAGAACAAAAATTCAAAAACGTGAAGCCGATGGTCATGACCGGGAGAGATTGGCAAGCCTTCAAGACGGCAATCAGCTGTCACATTTGTGGAAAGGAGTTAGGAGATGACAGAGTGAGGGATCACTGCCACGTGACAGGAGCGTTTAGAGGAGCAGCTCACAATGAGTGCAACATAATGTTTTTCAAATTTACTGGACGGATTCCGGTCGTCTTCCACAATCTGAGGGGTTACGATTCCCATCTAATCATGCAGGCAGTCGGAAAGGTGTCAGATAAGGAAATAAAATGTATACCTAACAACATGGAGAAGTACATTTCTTTCTCCATAGGGTGTATGGACTTTATCGACAGCTTCCAGTTTATGGGCACATCACTAGAGAAACTGATCGCAAATTTATCCGAGGAAGGGAAGGATACATTTGAACACATGACACAACATTTTGGTGAGGAGAAAATCGAGCACCTTTTAAAAAAGCAGGTGTACCCCTATGATTATTTTGATGGTCCCCACAGATTTCAAGAAACTGTATTACCGCCAAAGGAAGCGTTTCGTAGCAGTCTGACGGGAGAGGACGTATCAGATGAAAAATACGATCACGCTCTCAAAGTCTGGAAACAACTCGGTATACACAATCTTGGTGAATATTCGGACCTGTATGTCATAACAGATGTCCTGGGTCTTGCTGATGTGTTTGAGAACTTCCGAAATCTATGTCTGGAATCATATGGGCTCGATGCAGCTCATTTTTATACCGCCCCTGGACTGGCATGGCAAGCAGCGCTAAAAATGACCGATGTTAGACTCGAACTGCTCACCGACATCGATCAGCACTTATTTATCGAGAAAGGCTTGCGGGGAGGCATATCAATGATTAGTCATCGGTTTGCTGAGGCCAACAATCCATACGTTCCCGGATACGACAAAACAAAACCAACAGATTACATCACTTACTTAGACGCCAATAACTTATATGGCTGGGCCATGTCACAATGCCTACCCACTCATGACTTCGCATGGCTTACCGATACTGCAAAGTACACGCTTGATATCACAACAGTTCCCGATGATGCGATAGATGGATATATATTGGAAGTAGATTTAGAGTATCCTCCAGAACTCCACGACCTACACAACGAATACCCACTGGCCCCAGAACGAGTAGCCGTGGGGAAAGACGAATTGTCTGACTACAGCCAGACCTTATGGCGTAAGCTGGCAGACTGTGGAAAGCCACATGATGATGAAAAGCCACATGACTGTTTGGATCATTACAATTCAGCACAAAAACTCGTTCCAAATCTTAGAAACAAGGAAAAATATGTCCTGCATTATAGGAACTTGAAACAATATTTTTCTTTTGGAATGAAGCTCACAAAAGTCCACAGAGTGTTAACCTTCAAACAGTCTCCATGGTTGAAGACGTATATTGATTACAACACGGAGAAAAGGAAACAATCTAGAAACTGTATTTGAACCGACCCATCTATGTCGGATTCTCCATCCTGGATATCTCCAAAACATTGATGTATGACTTCCATTACAACCACATCAAAACAAAATTTGGAGAGAGGGCAACCCTCCTTTTTACAGACACTGATTCTCTAGCCTACATCATCAGAACAGAGGACATCTACAAAGACATGCTAGAAGACCGACACTTATTCGACACATCGGAGTATAAGAAAGATCACCCCCTCTACAGTTTGACAAACAAGAAAGAATTGGGGAAAATGAAGGACGAGACCCATGGAAACGCCATTCATGCCTTTGTGGGACTTAAGGCTAAAATGTATGCCTACACACATGACGTTAAGGAAGAGACATATGGCATAGAGGTGGAAACTTACGTAGAATCAAAGAAGGCAAAAAGCATTAAAAAATATGTGATCGAAAACCATACACGTTTCGAGCATTACAATGACTGTCTTTTTCAAAATAAAGTCGTAATGTCCCAAATGAATCAGATCAGAAGTTATAAGCATCAAATCTACAATATATCCATGACCAAAAGGGGTCTGTCACCGTTCGATGACAAGAGGTATCTCCTACAAAATGGAATATCAAGTTTGGCCTACGGACACTGGAGGACACCAGAATAGAAGTGTGAACTACCCAAGAAAGATTCCGTTTTAACTGCAAATCGGGTTGTAGATGACAATGATTAATTTAAATGTGTATATTGTCCATTTTAGAGTAGGTTCTTTATTGTACATATGACGTATCTTTGCTTTATGTAATAAAATGTTATAAACTAGCGATTGTCTTATTTTTTAATTTTACCCACAATGCAACACTTGAGATAGTATAAATAGGGGTGAAAACATAAATGTTTCATTTGACAACAAGACGTCGAGGTGTTAACATGTCTAAGATACAGTGTGCCGATTGCCAAGGCTGGTTTTCAAGAAAAGACGTCATGAAAAGACACCAACAAAACATACACGGCTATTTATCAACACAACCGCCGCCGCCGCCGCCGCCGCCGCCGCCGCAGGAGGATACTCCTGAATACCCGCCGCCGCCGCAGGAGGATACTACTGAATACACGCCGCCGCCGGGGAATAATCCTGTATACCCACTAATCAGTTATCCGCCGCCGCCGCCGCCGCCGCAGCAGCAGTACTTTGTCTTCAAGCATCCATTCAAAGCAAAATTATCCGGACCGACGTCTTGCGGGAAAACCTATTTTGTCAAGACTCTCCTACAAAACTGTTTGACCAAGATATCACCTCCTCCACAAAAGATTATATGGCTCTACAAAAGATGGCAGCCTCTCTATGATGTCATCAAGACAACGGTTTCACCGAACGTGGAATTTATTCAGGGGATACCGCTGGATTTGGATCAGGACTCGTTCATAAACCCTAGGGTTCGAAATCTTGTCATACTTGACGACCTAATGTCCACAGCATCTAAGGATCCACGGATCAATGAGTTATTTACGGAGGGGAGCCATCATAGAAACTTGTCTGTGATTGCCATCAACCAAAATCTGTATTACAACAAGGACCCAACGCAGAGACGTAACTGCCACTACCTGGTATTGTTTAACAATCCTATCGACAAACAGCAAGTTATGACTCTGGCCAGGCAGATGTATCCGCAAAATGTTCAACACTTGTTCAGACATTTCACAGAAGCTACCACTAAGCCTTACGGATATCTGCTTGTCGATTTGAAACCATTAACACCAGAGTCAGAGCGCATGCGCAGTGAAGTGTTCGCCCACGAGCCTATAAAAGGGCCACATAATCTAGCATCCAGTCAGTTTGTAAGCAGCGCTCAAAGTGAACGGACGTATTCTCAGCAGCAGCAAGAATTTCTTGGAGGTGAACAACATCCTCAACAAGGCACAAGGAAAGATACCCAAAAGCAACAACAACAATATCAAGAGCTGTCCTTAGAAACAGAAGAAATGCCTGCCTGTGACGATTGTGGTATTGTGTTCCAAGACATACATGATTTACACAGAGACACGTGAAAAAATGGTGTCCCGAAAATGACTCTCGTAAAAGAAAACTGGACCAGGACGAAGTCCAAAGTCCGGCAAAGAGGCAGAGGTTGGATATTTTTGATGACCCCGATATCTCAGATACTGAGGAAGATTCGGAAGAGGGGGAATACTTCAACGAGATACGTAAAAAAGCGAACGCAAACAACGAAGAAAAATGGAGTGAGAAGGTAGAGAAATACCAGAACAACGGGCTGTCTAAGAAAGACGCTGTGAGTAAGGCTGATAAAAAGATGCAAGAAGAAGATATGAGGGAGTTCCTCAATTTGTATTGGAAAACAATCACCAATATTTTACAGCTGAAAGGTGGGGAAATACACACAAAAATCATGTAGTCGGTGGAAAATTATATGCGAAGCGGTTACAAAACCCTCCCTGCGATACGCATGTCTCTAAGGAAATACAGACACCAGCTCGAAGAGCATTTATATGATGATGATGATGATGATGATGATGATGATGATGATGATGATGATGATGATGACGATGATGAATCCGAAGATGATGATAATGAAGAGGAAGAGTCAGAGAATTCTGTAGAAGAAAACTAATAAAAGAATCAATACATCAGAACGAACCTCATACAACGTCTAGAACTCGACGAAGAAGGATGTCTGCTTGGGAAGGTTATTTAAGAGACATTTATTACAATCCTACCAATGCTGGGAGTTTCTCTGGACCAGACAAACTGTATAGATATGTACGGAAAGCCGGGAAATACGTCATCAGCAAATACAAGATAAGAAAATGGCTACAACGACAAGAGCCTTACAGCCTTCAGAGATCCCTCCGACGTCCATTCAAACGAAACAGAATCTTGGTGACAGGAATCGACGACCAATGGTCTGCCGATCTCATAGACATGGTCAAGTTTCAGAACGAAAACAACGGTTATTCTTACGTACTCGTGGTGATAGACGTGTTCTCAAAATTTCTATGGATGAAACCTCTAAAAAACAAAACAGGGGCATCCGTAACAAAGGCTCTTCGTGAGATTCTCAGCGAGGGGAGACAACCTAGCAGGATCCGCACCGATAAGGGGCAAGAATTCAGATCCAAGGAAGTAAACTCTCTCCTAAATCAATACCACATTCAGCATCTTTATGCCCAAAACGAAACCAAGGCTGCCGTGTCCGAGCGCGTTATCAAGACCATCAAGTCAAGAATGTATAGATATTTCACACACATAAGGAATTACGAATACGTGACAAAACTCCAGACGTTCGCCGACAGCTACAACAAGACGTATCACAGGACCATTGGGACAGCTCCAACTAAGGTTAACAAAAATAACGAAACATCTGTCTGGTGGAGGATGTACTGGCCGAAGAAAGAGCCGATCTTACGAAAGACTAAAAAAGTTCGTAAACCGTTCAAGTTTAAAGTAGGGGATAAAGTGCGTTTGTCACATCTCAGGAATCCATTCACACGGGAATACGATGAAAAATGGACGGGGGAGATATTTACCATTTCTCAAAAGATCCTACGTGGAGGCTTACCTGTGTACAGAGTCACGGATTACGATGGCGATGAAATTAAAGGTACTTTCTATCAGTCCGAGCTACAGAAAGTTGACGTAAGGGAGGATGACATGTGGAAGGTAGAGACCATATTGAAAACCAGAGGAAAAGGCCGTAGCAAACAACACTACGTGAAATGGCTAAATTGGCCTAAGAAATTTAATTCCTGGATACGCGCATCAGATGTAACCGATTTGTAAGAGAGTGAACTACCCTAGAAAATGTTCAAGACCCCGCGTTATGGGAAAGAGCCTACATAAAAACATATCGTTCTAGTACCGTATTGCGGGTGGTAGATGGCTCTCATGTAGATGTAAATATTGTCCATGCTAGGCTTTGTATTGTAAGGGCTGACGCGGGATGGGTCTCTGACCCGTGTCTGTTCTATCGACAGAGACAATAAAATGTTGTACGTATATTGGTGTTGTTATTGTATAAGAACATTCGAGAACATCACCGATCCGGATGAAACCGGTTTCGATATTTTTAAACTTGGAGCAATCGGGGAAAACCCGTGACATCATCATAACGGTACCCCCCTCGTATATAGGTTGTCGCTATAAATAGAGACAGTCTGGAAAAACCCCAATACATGAGAACCCCCCTGTGACGTCATCGATCGGTACCCCCCTGCTGAAGGGGGGTGCCACTAGGGGGGTGCCGGGAGGTGGTAAGGATTATATAGGGGAGTGCACCGGATGACCCTGCGCCAAAAGCGGTACTTCTGTACTACTGTTTCTCTTAAAATAGTGTCTGATGAAAATAGTTGATACCAAGGTAATACATTAAATTTATCTCCAGCACATTCATAAATATGTTTGTTAACATGAAGATTTCGTAAAGAATCAGTTCCACCTCATGGTGTAAAACTGCATGTTGAGGGAGTGGTATTGACTTTGGTTTGGTAACCCAATAGTCAAATGTAATGGAGTCTGCCCTGATGAGGCTACATGTGTACAGTAAGGCCCTAATCTCTGGGGTTTGTGATAATTTGTAACAGGCTTATCATGTATTGGAAGTATCTTGTTACATCTCAGACAGATAGAATCATACAACGAAACAGTAATTGCCATTGAGATCACACTTGGTAATGGGGAATTTAATATTATTTACTGCTGGTTACTGTGCACTCGCGTGGCAATGTTTTCGTTAATGGTATAGACAATAAATAAGCTGTGGATGAATAATGAGGATAATGTCTACCAAATTTTCATTTGATGTCTGCAACACAATATGTCACATAACCATTCTGTATCACTCCACCAGGTAAATACATTGTGTACCTAAAAACGTTAATGCCTTTTTTATTTTGTTTATTTTAGATCTCACAAAGAATACTAATGTAGAATATGTAGTATATATTTATACATGTATAGTATATATATATATATGTGAATTTATTAAATAACACTGACAATTACTTCTATTTATTTCAGATGCTG